ACATCTTCGGCGTATAGATCGCTTCCTTCATGATAATATACACATTCATCATAATCCTGGTCTGAGTCCCAGGTGAGATCCAGATCCGATATGTCTGGTTGATCTTCCACAACAGGTGATGGATCCATGCCCGTTTTCTGCGGCATAGACTTGATACACTTGTCATTCAATGGATTACGAGTCGTATGTACTGTCCAAGGCCGCACACTCATCATTGCTGGCAGATCTGATCCACTGCATTTCGACGGCGATGTCCCTTGATCTTGGACCTTCGAATATGGTTGATCCAAGCTGACATCTTCCACTACGCCTTGGCCATCCTCTTTCCTCAGTCTTTCCATGTCCGTGATTTCCTCCACCAGCGGATTAGTTGCCCATGTGACACAAAGTGATTTGGATTTTCTCAGGGAAACAAGAATTTGTATGGAACTGCGGATTAGGTAATGGGTGCAGGATCGCCAAGAGTGAATGTGTGGAAAGAAAAGATAGATCCAACGATCGCATCTCCGACGGCGACTTGTCCGACGACGACTTATCCGACGGCGCCTCGTCGGAAAGTGAGCAGTCAGGAATATCTTGATCCTGACTCGCCTCGACTTCCCGGCGCTGGATCAACGTTGTCTTCGGTCTTTGGAGTATTGCGCGTGGAGTTACATACTCGGGTCGTTCCACCGCGGGTATCGGCGGATCCTCGGCCTCCACTTCTTCGGATTGGGTGTCTGTTGTAGCCTCCAGCGCCAGATTCTGCCACTCCATGTAACGACGAGAGCCGATCGAGATAAAACCCGGTATTCGCGGCACATGGTCCCCAGCCAGCCAGATCCCGATCCGTTGGTCCTGATGCAGGATCAACACCTCGTCTCCAATATTGGTGATCGAGATGTATTTCGTCCGCCCGGGTCCACTAGATATTGTCGGTTTCCACGCGTGACCCACAACTTGTCGTGGTTCGACGACCTCAGGCGCAGTGGCAGTTCCACCGACTTCCCTGCTTGGATCCGCAGATATTGACCGACGTTGACGATTTTCGCTTTGTCACTATAGAACTGCCGTCTTCCGCTGAGCTGGATCTGGACTTCGTCTGGCAGACTGATCGATCCATG